TACAGCGGATCTAAATATTTATAATTATAACTAGTTATGATTAATTATTCATATTTCCCCATGAGCTGATTCGCTACATTTTGTAATATTAATGAAAGCTGTAAAAGTATTGTTCCTACTGTGTTCATTTCAACATTTACTATTACTAATAGGCTATATTTTTACATTTTAAAGTTTCTTTTTTTAACATTAGTAAACTATGAAATAACTTCAATGATCAATATAATAATTAATATTAATGTGTTTATTCATTTACAAAGTATGGTTCAGTACTGCTACTGCTTTTTTAAAAATAGTAAAGCTCTGTTTTAGTTTTCGTTTACCATTTTAAAAACTATCGGTTGATTAATCGGTATCGGCCAGTGTGGTCCAACCTAGCTATCGGTATCAGTAAAATCCACTATCGGTCGACCTCTAGTTAAGATATAACACAGGTTGTGTTGTTTTTAACACATCTGTTTTAAGAGTGAACACTGTTTAAGACAGGGATAAGAAAATCTGCTTCTGGAGGGTAACTCACTGTCCCATTTCATTTAATCTCATCATCTGAATCATGAATCATGCAGCACAGACACACCAGACATGACAATAGAATGAATGTTGATGCTTGTTAAGAATTGTTTACTGTTTCTTAGAGCAAACCTGACCATTATCTAAACACCCTAATTACTTTTGAATGCTCAGTTGTGTATCTGAGCATCCAACGTTTTCCAGACTTTTCATCTGCAACATCCATATTTTCATCAGTTCTTTTTATGAACTGCTTACTGTTGTGTAGAACAAAACCAACCAACATTTAAATCTCTTAATAGAACAATACTGACTAATATGTAAATATCTTAATTGCTCCTGAATACTCAGACATGTGCCACTGGAGTCACTGGAGCACTGATTATGTGCTAGACAAGACAACACTATATAATCAATGTTATATGAGCCCTAAAACTTGCTCTATGGCAAAGCAATACGGCATTAAGACATAACAGTAAAGCTGCTTTGCAAACATGAAAAGCACTTTATACAAATACATTTGACTGCAGAAAAGGTTTAAACAGCTGAACGAATCTGAACAAATCTTTCTGGTAAATGGAATTAACTGAATAGATTGGGTAGATCTTGAATGAATTGGGTCATTGGTGAATGGATTCAAAAGAATCAAGTCACTCAGATTAATAAAAATCCTCATCTCACCTTTATTTACAAACTTTATAAAGTTTGTAAATAAAACTACATGAACCAGGGTTTCATGTGCAACCCCTTCCTTTTCACTCGTCGTCTTTAATAGCGACAAGAGATAGTCTAATTTATTGATATTGCCAATTTTGATCTATGAAATGATCATTAAGCCTTATTTATTTCACAAAATGTATAAAAACCAGAGCTCATTCAGAGCTTATTAACAAAAGATCAGGGGCTTCAGCCAGCGTCTAGCTGTGTTGCTACAATAAGGCCTTCAATTTACTAAATGGGACCCTGCTTTGTGAAAGAAAAAAAATCCCTTGCAATTAGTCACATTTCAAATAACTCGCTTTAAATTTTCCCGAAAAATACATTCTTCCACTTTCAAAACTCTATGTGAAGGACAAAAACAGCACAAATGTTTCACTCATTCAACTCAAACAGCAGAAATGTAAATGTTCCTCCAACAACTAGCTAAGAACAAAGCTTTCCAAAACCTTTTAATTTAAAAACCGCAGTATACAGAGAAAGCTGAGAGAAAAACAAAAGATGAAAGGGTTTTAGGCACACAGGCGGCATGATTCCTGGCAGCCGACTCTGGGCAAAGTATAGGGCTTGTTTCTAGAGCCCTGTCCTACTGCACATGTGTGCAGACCCTCCCTGCTGAAAATAGATGACTAAATGAGAGCTTTGTTTCACAAAGCAGACCCTTTGAGCTGCTTTACTCTGGTGGTGGTAGCAGCAGCCAGCGCATTCTGCTATCAAAATAAACTGTACAAATCCCCAACCTAGCCTGGCATCCTTCATCCACCCTCCTACCTTGCCATACAATGATCCCCTCAAATTCATGTGAGATCAGTCAGACAAATTTATTTGTGGCTTTTTCCATTGTCAAATGTAAGGTATGTGTCCAACAACACGATTAAGCAAGGCTGCTCCATACTTTTAGCTAATAGAGAGGGCTATTTTTAACTTGAGTTGCAAGTGTTTCACCAAACACCAGCCAAACGCCTGTAAGACCTGTAAAACATAGCAGACTGACATTTGACAAGAAATGCCAGAAACCTAAGACATAATTATACGTGTACTATAATACTGTTGAAATCTTGATTCTAACTGGTTCGCTGATTTTCAAACTTGTTGATGATTGTCGTTTAACTGCACTGCTGTGAAGTAGTCCCAGGTCTTTATGCATTACAGTTTCATGTCACTTATTTAAAATTAATACAGTTAACCACAACAAAAGAACCAAAAAAAAAAGACAAATTTTATGTGCACATGACAAGGTAAAAAATAGTGGTTTGGAAAGTGAATAATTCGGTAACACTTTAGAATAGGGAACACATATTTACTAAGAGTTTTCCCTGAACAAACTCCTAATTTGCTGTTTATTCATACATAGTAAGGTAGCTGTTAAGTTTAGATATGGGGTTTATGGAATAAGGGATCTGAAATATGGTTATGCAGAATAAGGCATTAATATGTGCTTTATAAGTACTAATAAACAGACACTATATAGTAATATGCATGCTAATAAGCAACTAATTATTAGCGAGAACTGGTCCTTAAAATAAAGTGTTACCAATAATTCATAGGTAAAACCTAAAAGACGCTGTCCAAACTGTGAATTGTAAGCACATAGGATTGGGCCATACTGTGGCTAGTGATCACTGAAACAGAAAAGCGCCAGTTTGCAAATCCTTCCAGCTCAGGAAGGACTAAAAAGTTGGAAGCAAACATGTCTCTTAAAAATTTTCTTAAACTCTCCACAATCTGAAGCTCTAAAGTACTGAACAAATCAAGAAAGCTCTGCAAAAATTAAAGTTCAAGCAAACTTTCTCTTCAAGGCTCTCACATCTGCAAGTTTTAGTTTGTCAGGATCTTCTGCATCAGCTTCAGAGCCTTCACCTCCAAGGTAAATTAATCTGCATGTTCCAGACTCTTAAGACCTTCTTGGTGCTCCAGGAGTTTGTACACAAGCTTTCTTTGTGTTCAAGACTGTTTAAATGTACTATAACTCCTTGCAACCAGTGGAGGACATCACTTGAACAAGCGGACCATAAGCATCACTTTACCAAACCTTTCTCCAGGGTCCTTGGCATTATTAGTGTATTGTCAATATGATTTTCTAATTTGCATTAGATGTTGTATAGCTGACGTCCTTTAATAACAAATGATCATTCAGTTTGTTGAATTCAGAATAAAATATAGAGAAACAACTGTACATCTTTCATTAGATGATGTAACTCTAGAAAAACTAACTCTGGCTGGTGCCCAGGAATAAAAGAAGGAAGCAGTCAACTAAAACTCTCATACCTTAAGTGACGTGTGACCAAACCTCACAATACTCGTTTTGGTGCCATCTGTGAGAACCAGTGCATTCTGGTGCCCTGCTGTGAAAACCTGCTACGAATGCAGCTGGGTTCTATTTTGGTCCACTTAAAAAGACTGTTGCATGTTTGTTTAATTTCAAATATATATTTTCAAAAACAATAACAACACTGATAATCCAAATGTTGAAGGTCAAACAACTAGAAATAACCAACAAGGGGTTACATGTATAATTACATGTATTATGTTTTAAGCATGTAATTTATACATGTAACCCCTTGTTGGTTATGGTTGTTATTGTGGCTTTGAATGTTGGTTTTTATCTTTATGTGGATTTTTATTATGCAATGTAATGTTGATCAGTGTATGTGTATGTGGGCTCCAGGGTCCGAGACAAATTTCCCCATTGGGGACAATAAAGTGTATTGAATTTAATTGAAATTGAATTGAAAAATAGCTCCAGTTGCAACAACTGACAACAAATACCATATGAAACATATGTAGTCTCGTGTAGCCAGACCTTCAGACAGCTTTCATTGGCCAAGGACTGCCTTCTGACTGACATGTAAAGCAACCAATCACAATTAGTGTTGTTCAGCATCATGTTTAGGGGCATGAAAATGTATCATGTTTCATGTGTTGCCTCCAGAATCCTTATTTGTATGTTTATGTATGTATTTTTATTTTTTTTTTTTTTTACAGAGAATGACACCAAGGAAGGCCTCAGACACTACAGCAGACAGATGTTTTTTTCACCATGTTGGTCAGGGCTTCTGTATTTTATATATGCAAATTGGGGGAAAAGGCTGGTAGAAATTTTTGTATCTGATAAAACTGAACTTTCACTAGCTAATCACTACCATTAATTTTTTCCAACTAAACCACATCAGTAGCTCTGCTTGACTCATCAGCACTGAACTACACTGTAAAAAATCTAAGGTTGAGAAAGCTTAAAAGTTTAAGGCAACCAGCTTAAGGAGTTTTCTCAACTTCTTGTTTTCATTTTATACAACAAAAGTTGAGAACTCAAAAATCTTCTGAAGCTGGTTGCCTTAAACTTTTAAGTTTTCTGAACTTTTGATTTTTTACAGTGCACTTTCACTTCACACTACAATAATAAACTACTAAGTGTAAATTTGTCAGAGTATATTGGAGTTTTCACAGGTATTCAGCATGACTTGTGTTAGCTCTCCTGGGCTCTCTTACCAGTTTCTGGGTGAGGCCTGGTGGGGCCCAGTCATAGGTGACGGTGTTGAACGTTGGGTCTTTACGTGAGACCACTGGGTTGGTGACGATCATGCGGTTGCGTTTATAGACCCTCGTGCCGTCTCCTCCCTTAACCTTAGTTGTGAGATGGGCATAACAGGACTCTGCCAGCAGTCTCCCCACCTTGCGGTCATCCTCAGTGTCGGAGCTGGACACATGCTCCTCCTGACTGCAGCGGCACTGTATGCAAGCTTTCCTGCAGAAATCACAGCTATAGTTTATTAGGCATTGTACCAGCCTCATCTCCGCTGCAGAGGCTGATGGGACAGTGCCCCACCAAATAATCGTCTACTTGAAAACACAGACCTCTATATAAACTGAATCAATCCTACAGTTGTCATGCAAATGTGTTCAGCCTTCTGCAACAAATATTTTTTTGAGTTTTAAACTACTGAAATAAGCCTGGCCTGCTTGTTTTTACATTACCTTATGTCAACCTTTCCCAAACTATTTTGCATATAGCTCAAAATTACATTTACATTTAGTCATTTAGCAGACACTTTTATCCAAAGCGACAAATGAGGACAATGGAAGCAATCAACAAAAGAGCGATATGCAAGTGCTATGACAAGTCTCAGTTAGCCTAATGCTATTATTGAAATCCCATTATCCCATTATATCTACTTATTTTTCCTCACTTAAATGCATTATTTAAGTGAGCATTAATTATTTAATGCATTATTATAATTAGTATTCTAATTATTTAATGCATTATTACTTAAATGCATTATTCATTATATAAATGAAATGCATTAATATTTTCTTTATTCTCTAAAATCCCCTAAATATATATATCCCCTTTATTTCTATCTTTGGCCTTTGCGATGGCTATAGTTACCGGTGACATTTCTTCAGCAACAGGGATTTGCTGCTTTTGACAGCTAAGTAGCGCTATTACAAGTTATGAGTCAAACGTATTAAAGTGCATTATCCTAATACATGAATTTATATGCTTTATTTCAATATCGTGACCACAATATTTAATAATAGTTACAAATACAAAGGTTTGAAATGTCTATTTAATAATATAATAAAATGTTTTAATAGGTCATGCAGGAACTTTGATATTTGTTATCTGTCCTTTTTGTTGACATGTCTATTCCCGTATACGGAGCCCCTAAAGGGACACGGTGGTGGAAAAAATACGGGTTGGGGAGAAAATTATTTTTCAAATCTTTTGCATTCTCTCGCAAAATGTTAATATTAATATTAATAGTGTTATTGGTATTAATAGTAATTATTAATAAGGCTACTGAATTTGGTCCTCCAATGTCACTGTTTTAGTAGCCTACATTAAGCAACCAGCGTTTGAGAATGTAAACCGTGCCTTAAGCACTGACTGTATTTCTTTATACCTGAGTCCAAGTTCAAAATGAAACTATGAAGCGCTCCATTGTGAAGGTAAATAGCTGTATGAACCACACTGCAAGCTGTAAAGTTAACAGGAAGTATTTGTCTGAACTCAACTGGTTTTGCGAGAGAACGCAAAAGATTTGAAAAGTATTTTTTCCACCACCATGTCCCTTTAGGGGCTCTGTACTACAGAGACCTGTATGTGACATGCAGAAAGAAAATACGGTGTACATGAATTAAGACATCAATCGCTGGTTTTGCGAGAGAACGCAAAAGATTTGAAAAGTATTTTTTCCACCACCATGTCCCTTTAGGGGCTCTGTACTACAGAGACCTGTATGTGACATGCAGAAAGAAAATACTGTGTACATGAATTAAGACATCAATCGCTTATTATTAATTTCCTTCTTAAACGTGTGTTGTAATCATTTTTTCAGATGATTCACCTAAAAAGATAAAAGGTGACCACAATTTAACTAAAACATTGGAATTAAAACGGATGAATTAATAAAACCTTCTCGTGTTTCAACTAAAATTAAAGGACAAACTGATAAAACATGTTTGTAAGTTATCTTTTTTTTTTCCACATATCATGTGAGTGTCTATAAATTACACATTTTCAAGGTCTACTTAAAATCTGGGGACAGTTTTACTTCTTAATTATTGCAGGCTTGCATATAGATTTCTGTGTGTATTCCTGTATTTGATGAATACTCAAATACATGTTCAGTATTATTAGTAGCAGTAGTTGTAGTATTGCAAGTGAGCTAAATTAACAGTGCTACTACAAAGATCTGCCACTGTGCCGTGTCTTAATTTTTATGCACCAATTTCACAGTACTGGGAATGATTTTTTGGCATTTTGATTACCATTTGTTTTTTTTTAAACCGAAACCAATAGACAGGCAGAGGACTGAGGTAGACTATAGGCTCACACAGACTATAGGCTATTATGATTAAATGTGGGTTTTAATTGTGATAAACCGTTAATTAAGTGAAATATATTTTGTGTAGGCCTATTTTTATTCTGTCTGTTTTTCTCCATTCACAGCAGCGCTGCAGGTGATGATGTGCAAATCCTTATGTTCTATTGTTGTTTACGTTGCTATTTTCTCGTAAAAATAAGCCCAAACAAACAGTGACATCTCTGACACAATGAATCCCGTCTCTGACACTTCCAATTGGAGCACACTGCACAGCAAAACTGAGAGATGGATGAAATCAGACTTAGATTATAATGATTTATTGAAGATTTTTTGTCCGATGAAGTCTCAATTTTTGTCAGTAATTTAAAAATGTATAAACATTAAAAATGTATGATTGATTTGTGTAAGTGGCAAATACACATTCTCCACTTTTAATTATATTTTTATCCTTTATGTGCTGCTCTGTCTTGGAATTGGAAGCATCAAATAATAGTAATTATATTATATTAAGGTTTTGATTTAATTTGAAAGCTTTATAAAGCTAAAGCGACTATTTCTATTTTATTTAGATATTTCAGTAGTCCTCTCAAGCTTCCATTCCATTTCCTGTTGCTGTGTAAATGTGTTTTCATTACTCATAATTCCTTGTAATATTAGTCAGGTTTAAATGCACACTGACTCACAATGACACACTGGTGTTTGTACAGCAGAGTAATTACACACATAAACAGTGTCTTCTACTTCACAGTCATCATGTTAATGGTAAACATTCCTGCTTTTACAGGCCCCAGAAACTGGGGCTTAACTGCAGGGCCGTCATTATGCAGTAAAATAGATTTGTTTTCAAAAATTGCAGTAATTAATAAGGCAAACAGCCTGTGGTGCCTGTGGTATGAAAACATGGAGCCCATGGAGATTCACACAGAGTCGTTCCCAACACACACATACAGTAAATCCAGCCTTCCACATACACATTCAGAGAAAGGAAACAGGCGTGGAAGCCTTTTCCTCCCTTTTTTATGTCTGTAGTCAAGAAAATAAATTACCTCCAGGAATGTGGCTGGAATCCAGAGCAGATCACTTTACATGTCAGACACGCTGCACCCTTTTCTGCCAACATCTGGAAAAAAGAGAGGTAAGAGGAGCAGAGCAAATTACTTTACTCACTGCAGGGACTTTGTATGAAACACAAGATTCATTCAAATTCAGAAACTGAACTCAATGATTCCGAGTTCATTAGGAATCATTTGTATCCCACAAGTTAAAAAATTAAAAGGTATGTATTTAATTAAGCTAATGCTTGTCAACTGTATTAAACAACTTTTGCAGTTTCTCTACACAACACTGAAAACGTACTGATACAACATTAAGTAAAGACTATCACTTCATTTATTCAGCAAACTAGGTAGCCATCTAACAAATAAAACAAGACAATAATCAGATTAAATAATCAAATATTCAGTGATAAACCATGATATACAAAACTGTCTGATGGTGAAGAGTATGAATAATTTGGACACCCTTCATGAATCATATAAATCCTTTCAAGAATATGTCAAGAACCAATTCTGGTAGCCTAACACTTTATTTTACGGTGTCATTGTTACACATGTTACATGCACTTACTATTATAATAACAATAAATTACATGCAAGTAACCATAACCACTGATCATTATAGACTGTGAATTGAAGTTATCTCCGTGTTTCCTCGTTCCTCGCTCCTTGCCCCCCCGAGAAGTGTGACAGAAGGACCGACCTAAACAGTTACCTCCGTTTGTACCCTCCGCTTTGTTTCGTTTTTCTCCCAGTGTTTTTCTTTCCGTTGTGTCCCCATGGATCCCTTCACTCGCCCTGAATTCCTCCTCCTCCTGCTGGAGCAGGGAGACAAAGCTCTCGAGGACCATACCAAACTGTTCCTGTTGGTCGCTAACATCACCAGCTACCCGGACAACGCGCTCTGCTCTTTCTAAGCCTGAACGCAGAGTGCAGAGCGCTGTCGTCCGAAGATGGTCCTCAGGAGGAATTCGCCGCCTTCGTGGAGTGGACTCTGGCGAGAAACGGGTCGCCACTCACCATCTGCCCCGTGGAGGATCTAGCCGGATCCACTCCGGACCCAGAGCCCAGCCCACCATCTCCTCGCGGTACGGAGCATCAGCCTAAGCCCACCGATGATGGAGAGCCATTTCCCGCCTTGATCCCAGCCAGAGTGAACCCAAATTCTTACTAAATACTACAAAAAAAATGCTTTGTGCTGATTTAATAAAGCATTGCAGCTATTACACCATTTGTACTGTAATACAGTAAAATGGCATCTTTATAGAGATGGCATGAATGAGAGGGTGAGGGGTTGTTTTTCCCTTCTCCCAGCTGTGTGTGCAGATGAGTATCAGTGAGAAATCAGCACACTGATCAGATGCATCCACTTTAAATCACTCATCAATAACATGAAACACAATCCATAATAACAAGCTGTCGACCACACTGTCTCACTCGATACAGATGGCTTAGCTTTCATCACAGAGCTTAATGTGATAAAAATAACAGCAGACAAAGACAAACAGACCACAACACACTGTGCATCCATGGTGTTCAATCCCTTTAAATCCTTCTGTGAGGCAGATACATCTGAAGACGTGTCACCACCACTCAAAACCTCACAAAAGGTAAACATTTCTGAATAGATATACTGATCAGTACAAGAGCTCACAGAACAGGTCAAGCAGTCAATCTTGAGTGAATACAATATCAGTGTTCTTCAAATCCAGCACTGTACTGAAGATTTTAGCTCCAACCCTGATCAAACTCATTTGCCCATCATTTTTTGCATAATCCTGAAGACCCTGATTAGCTTGTTCAGGGATGTTTGGTAAGGTTGCATGACAGTGGCCCTCCAGGATTGGATTTGAAGGACCCTGCCCTAAATGATCAGTCTTTGAAATTGCAAGGATTGGTGGTTGGTCTCTTACAGATGTACATAGGAAATGTGTAGTTTAATTAGTAGTTTTGGTGTTAGATCATTTTGAAAAGTAATATTAGCCATGTATCTGTCAAATCTGTCATCGTTTAGTAAACTGCCATCAAAAGAAGGATGACCAAATTGTGCTTTTCATTCATTCATAAAAAATAAAAAAAAAGACACTGGACTATCACGGTTCATGATACCAAAGTATCAACTAATGTTAACAAGACTTGTTGTAAAGTGTTATTTACAATATGTGACCCTGGAGCACAAAACCAGTCATAAGTAGCACATGTATATTTGTAGCAATAACCAACAATACATTGTATGGGTCAAAATTATCCATTTTATTTTTCTTTTATGCCAAAAATCATTATGATATAAAGATCATGCTCCATGAAGATATTTTGTAAATTTCCTGCCATAAATATATCAAAACTTAATTTTTGATTAGTAGTATGCATTGCTAAAGACTTCATTTGGACAACTTTAAAGGTGATTTTCTCAATATTTTGATTTTTTTGCACCCTCAGATTCCAGATTTTCAAATAGTTGTATCTCGGCCAAATATTATCCTATCCTAACAAACCATACATCAATGGAAAGCTTATTTATTCAGCTTTCAAATCTCAATTTTGAAAAATTGACCCTAATGTGATCCAGGGTCACACACACACACACACACATATATACAGTATATACTGTATGTATCTTTGCTCACAGCTGATTGGTCCAATTTTGGTTTGCGATCTAAAGCTGCGTCCAAAAGCTGAAAAATGCTGCCTTTAGGATGCATTCCAAGATAAGGCATCAAGGCACGTCCGAATCCAATGTCTTTTCCTGTCTACCGAGATGCCTTTATCTGATCGATTTTTGAAGGCAGCTGTATCCCACAATCCTGTGCATTGTGACAGTTGAGCTAAAAAATAAAGATGGCATCTAAAAGATGCATTGGGTGGTCAGTTTGTGTGTAAATGTAGTTTCTTTTTCCACCTTTGATGTCATTTCTAGCTAGAATATTCACTTAATTACAATTATTTAGCAGACGCTTTTATCCAAAGTTTTATCTAGTTGTCGATCATTAAACCGTTATGCTGCCTCAGAAGTCCGTCTGAAATCAGTTTGGTGAGGTGCCTTCATGCACAAACGCTGCCTTCAAAGTCATCACCTGATAAGGGAGCGAGTCAGCAGCCTAAAGCTTTCGGACGCAGCTAAATCCTGCTCTGGAGCAGGTTATCCGTGTAGCGTAAGTTAACATGTCGATGAACAAAGCTAAAACCAATCCACTTTCTTGAGCACAAAAAACAGAGTTTCCTCAAAGTAATCTCAAACTACACAGGTAGCAACTGAAACCAACTTTATGCAACATGCCTCTGGTTATTAAGTCTGGCTCTGCTTTCTTGCAAATAGGCCAGCAACAGCTGCACAAGTTTTTTCAACATCATCTAATAACCATACTGAAACAAGAAGGACATTAAAAGTATGAGGGATAAAACCAGAATAAAGCTCTCTGTGTTAAAGTCTCAAATATCAGTAAACACATAACATGGGGGAAGTTGTGGCCTAATGGTTAGAGAGTCGGACTCGCAACCCAAAGGTTGTGGGTTCGAGTGTCGTACCGGCAGGGATTGTAGCTGCGGGGAGTGAATGTACAGCGCTCTCTCCCACCTTCAATACCACAACTGAGGTGCCCTTGAGCAAGGCACCGAACCCCCAACTGCTCCCCCGGCGCCGCAGCATAAATGGCTGCCCACTGTGTTCACGGTCTGTGTGTGTGCACTTAGGATGTGTTAAATGCGGAGCACTAATTCCTAGTATGGGTCACCATACTTGGCCACATGTCATGTCACTTTAACTTTCACATGAAGTTTAGGTTGTACAAGAACAATTCACAGTGCAATAATCTCAGGAAAAGTGCAGAAACATTATTTATCTACTCAGAAACTGATCTCGATAGCCAGAAACGTGTTTGAATGAAGCCTTGTTCAAATCTGATTTTTGTGCATATCTGATTAGAATCCAATCATACCAAAGTTAGTCCAAAAACAGCTTTTACTCAAACCAAGCTACCAAAACAACTCATTTTGCACATCCTCCTCCTCTTTGTTATGTAATAGTAGGGGCTTCACAGTATGGACCAAAAATCATATCCGAGTCACTTTGTTATATACTCAATCGGAGGTCCCGAGCAAAACATTTACAGGAATCAAGCATTCCTGTGGTTTTTGTTGCATTCTTATTGAATTTTGTTGGTTTAAATTAGAATATGGGCAACAAAATTATTTGTCTTTGTTCAGGTTTGACTGTAATCATAATGCAAAATCATTTCAAATCAACATTAAAAAATAAATAAATAAAAAAAATCTACATTTTGGCAAAACTGGTCTTTGATCATCTCTCTCTCTCTCTCTCTCTCTCTCTATATATATATATATATAAGG